AGAAAAGAGAAGAGACTTACACACATATTGTTTTGACTTTTGCCTTGTTGAGAAAAGTGCTAACTTAAAGTAAATTCTTGTTTCTCTTTCTTTCTTTGGATTCTGAACTTTTCAATGTTTAAAAAAAAATAAGGAAAAAAAAAATACTCTGCACCTTATACACTCATTGGACACTATGTTATCTATTTTCTATTATAAGAAGTTATTCAATAATGTAACAATTGTGCTTACACACAGTTTATAAATTTAATAAATTCACTTTTATTTCTTTAAAGATTTTAATTATCAGGGTGTGGTCTATTCTCTTTTAATTTGTTATTTATATATGGAAATGTATCAATAATAATTATATTTTCATTAATGGACTATTAAAGGACACATTTTCACATTTTTCTATGAAAAATAAGAATATACCCATAACACTTGCAAGAAAAAATGATTAAATTGAAATTGAAATGTTTTTCGGTGAGAAATTAATGTAGATTTCTGTGAATATAAAGACTATAAATTATTTAATATAAGGAAGTTAATTTTGGGACATTGTTTATTTCAGGTACTTGTCCCACTTCAGGTACAGTTGTTTGTTTCTTTTAATGAAAGAGTTGAATGAGAGATGACATAACAAATAGACATTAATGAATTATATATATTATAAACTCTGTTGATTTTCAATAAAAAAATTATTCATAATTTATCTATTCTTTATAAATTAATCAAATTTAGCTTTTTGTTCACTTGTCATCAAAATAAAAGAAAAAACTTCTACATAAAATATTTTAATAAAAAATTGAAATATATGGTCATGTTTTTAAATTAATATAAACTCACACCTACTCAAAAGTGATATTTATCTTTATTTTAATAAAAGCATTACTTTGAATCCAAATTTGTAAGAGAAAATTATTTATATATAGATAGACAATTACTTAAAAAAAGGAAAAGTATTTTAAAAAGATAATTATTTTGTTTAAAATACAATTTGAAAATTAACTTTTTATTTAATGTTTCTTAACTTAATAATAAATATTTAATTTAATTTAATTTAATTTAAAGCAAATTAATTATATATTTTGAAGATAATATCTCTGATAACATGGTTAACCATTTGGTAGGATTGTCAATGTTCTACATTCAATGATTATAAATGAATTGGTGAAAATTGGACCTTCTAACTATTAGTTAGTGAGAATTAAATGCAAGAAAAAGTAGCCTCACACACATGGTTGCATGACTAATTTAATTGACAAAGCAAGAGATAATTAATTAGCTATGTATGTATTGTATCAAATACCAGTACAACTATATATATGGCATTTACATGCACATGAAAACAAGCTTTGATTTTCACAACATTTTTCTAATAATATTTTAATATAATTTCACGTGTTACTAAATGATTAGTTCAAAATTACTCCACAATCAATAATAATAATCATAAACATCAAGATCAATCACATAATAATACGTAAAATGTTATAAAAAAATGTTGTCAAAATATTATTATTTATACAAATCAACATATTGTATAGATCCAAGTTTGATATCACACGTGTTGAGTCTTCCAACACTTGTTCTTTGCAGTTTAAAGAATATAAATTATATCAAAATAGCTGTATTGAATCTGATACCAAATCCCCAATTTTACTGGGATGGTTTGAATTTTGTAGATTACTTTTTTGGTGTATTTTCATAATATACAAGGCTAATATTTCATATTTTTATTTGTTCTAAATTTATTTTGGTGCCATGTTTTTAAACATTTAATAAAATTTAACTTAAACACATGTTTTTAATTAAAGGCTTAGATACTTTTTAGTTTAATGTTGATTTTTATTTTCAGATTTCAATTTTAGTAATTTATGTTAAATTTAATAATTTTTATGAGTTATTCAATTTTTTACACAGTATAATGTGGATATACATTATATTTGAATGAGTTATTCATTTTTTTACACAGTATAAGTTGGAATATATATTTTGAATGTCCATTAATCTCATGAAATTAAAGACAGTTTGAATATATATTTTTTTTTCATTTTTGAGACTTTTAAAAAAAATAAAACCATGATAAAAGTTTCAAATTTAAAAATAATAATATTTACTAATATTATATCTAAATCAGAAAATAAAATGAAAAAAGAAATCACTTTATGCCACATTAAATAGTTATGAATAATCCTATTTGGTACACCTTCATTCATCTCTTTTCACGTGGAAGGTGACTCTGGCGAAGGAATCGAGGAATATGCTTCACCACTCACCCATCTCTCTGCTCTCTGTTTATGCATTTTTTCTGATAAATCTGCGTCATGAGATCACTGTATCTGTTCGTAATATATATATATATATATATAAAATAATGATCCTTTACGATATTTTCTATAACATTTTAATATTATTTATTTTCTTATAACATTTTAACATTATTCATGTATCATCTATTATTGATTTATTTAATATTTATAATATTATATTGGTTTAAAATGTAATTTTAGACTAATTGACAAATTGTTACTGCCTACAGGATTATATGTAAAGGCTTATCAAATTAATTTTATGGTTTGTTTTGGTTTACATGTGTTGTTAAAAAATAATAAATAAATGTTACATATAGTTCTTAATATTTTGAGTATTTTTTTTTTCAAACATACTAGTGAACTGATAGCTATAAATTTTTATAAAATATTAAATAAAATAATTTCTTTATGATTTTCAATCAATTTTATAATGCAAAAATTGTCGAAACTAGTTCAAAAACATATCTATCTGTCTAGCTTATCTTTAGTCAAATGAGACGAGCAACATCCATGTGCCACCGACAAATATGATAATATAAGTAGACCAACAAGGCTCAAAAACAAACTACATAAGACAAAAATCTGGCTTCCTAATAGAAAAAGATTGAATCAAATTAACCATTACTTCATACATTTCTGACTCTATTAGCTTAAATATACTACTTTTTTAAGCTAATGAAAGCATGGTCCGCATCTACTCTTATAGCTACTCCTAGTGTGACAACTTTCCTCTTCATTCTCAAAAAGCCAAATGACAACATATGTACTCGTGCAATAATTAAAACCAAGAGCTCCATGCTTCAATTCCTGTGTGCTTGACCGTGAGAGCACTTGATACGCGGGGACCAAGGCTAATTAGTTTAGTATAGTATTTCTTTTACTTTTATTTAAAACATGTGTAAAAGTGTTATGCATGTCTAGATAGAGGGACTTTTAGTCCTATATAAGAACGCCACCACCTATTGTAGGTACTTTTGAGAATAATGAATTAAACTTTCTAGAGAGAACTCCAGAAATTAATCCCTTGAAAGTCAAAGCTAGAGAATTCCCAAAGGATCCTCCTCTAGCCACCTTCCCTTCACACCATCCATTCTCTCATTTTCCATTATCAGATTCTCTCTCCTCCGTAGCATCCATCTCACGCTACACTCACCAATTCCAAGCGTCCTCGTGGCTTGCGTCAGTCTACTACCCACCTTGCCTTTTTCCTCTCACGAGATCTCATCAGCATAGCTTCCGCATACTCATTTCGTTTCTTTCATCTACGTTTTCTCTGTGAAACCATTCAACCACAAAACTCTCCCTCATCATCGCTGGACCTTCACCGTGGTGCTTCTCCGTCAAAACCAATCAGGTTCCTCGCTTCAGTTTGTCGTCGATCCAGCCTTCGATACATCCATTGCGAGCCTCTTCACCGAACATATCGTAGTCAAAAAAAATAAGGGTTTCCTTCCGCTTCTAGGTTATTTCTTAATTTCCTTCGGTTCCATCGTTTGATCTTCTCTTCACCTTAATCTCCCTTACTTTCAACCCTAGAGTTTTTCAACAACCGATTAAACCTCCAAACCTAGGGTGCTCAAGTAAAAATCGTCTTCTTCCGCTGCTTCTCTTTCTTCTCGGCTCTTCAGCTCGATCAAGTCCGATTTCACGCCGACGTTTTTCCTCCTCCGGATTTAGCTCAAGCCGCGCTTATCAAGTGGTATTCAGAGCCTAGTTAGGCGCGTTCGCTTGAGCTAAGTATCTCGTTTCTCTCTTATCTGAGTTTTACTTGTCCGTCGATTCTCAAATTTTCGGTCTCGATCTGTTCTCTATTCTTGAGATTCAAGCTGTGCGTTTGGTTGTTTTCAAATTTTTCCGTGTTGTTCATTATCATTCGTGCAATGTCTTGAGTATTTTACTTTGTCTTGTTCATTGTTTGGTTTCTGTACATCAATTGCTACTTACAGTAGGTTCTGGTTGAGTCAATTTGTGAGTTTTTTCTTACATTTGAGTTGTTCATCATTTTCATCGGTCCCCAAAATTTTGTTTGATCATTTTTATTTTAGCACATCATATTCTGTCCTATCTATAGTCATGTGGATTGGTTGAACTAGTGCAGTTTTGATCTGTCCTAAAAACTGTTTTCAATTGTACATTTGATCGTCAACTTGTGTTTGATCCTTGGTATAAACTCTTCAAACCACAAAAGCAATGACAATTCAAACGATGAGCTGGTTGATAGATATCCCATTGTCATCCAATTAATTTTTTAAAGTTGAAACTGTTTTAGTCCGATTCTTTTGGCTACATTCATTTTCGGGATTTTGAGATGCTGTTAAAAAGCAGTGCATACTGCAAAGATCAATGAAAGGCATAGCCTAGATCAGTAGTCACTTTGTGAACACAACTTAACATTGTTGCAGCAGTTGGCCGATCTGCACATGCTTTGCTTAGTCCTTTTTTTTATGTTTTAAATCTTTTGGCATTTTAGATCATTGCTAAACATCTTGCATTAATTTTCTAGTGTTTTGTTCAAGATTTAATAGATATTCTTGTGTCCAGAAAACTCTGAGAAATCTTTTTGAATCATTGAGTCAAATTTTGGTGAGTTGATTTGCTTGTTTTGAATGAATGTGGGAGGGCTGGAACATCAAAATTATGAAGTAATTTGTTTTTGCATCATTAAGCTATTTAAACCAGTTTGAAGTATGCATTCTCTTTCAGGTGAATTTATCAAGCATTGTGCTCTTTTTCTTTAAGATTATTCTCATTCCCTTAGACAAAATTTTGATGCAGATTTGTAGATGTTTATGTCAAAGAGGAGAGTTAGAGATTTATTTTGGTGATTTGTAAGATAAATGTTTCCAGAAATGTTAATATAAAGTAACTAGAAATGTTTTGTGGAACTGTATCTCAGTTTTATCTTCTGTTTAACACCTGCAACAAAAATGTTTTCAGCGACCCTTATTTTGATCATTTTAATGATGCAGGTGGTGAGAAATCTACTTGCATCATTCGATGTTGTAAACTTAACAGATGATCAAGGGAACACAGCGTTACATGTAGCATCTTACGGGGGTCACTTATCTGTGGTGGAGATTCTGATTCTTGCATCTCCTTCGTTAGCATTGTTAACCAACCACTATGGAGATACTTTTCTTCATATGGCAGTGGCTGGTTTAAGAAGTCCCGGTTTCCGTAGACTGGACAAACATGCTGAACTCTTGAAGCAATTGGTTTGTGGAAAGATTGTGAACTTACAGAACATCATCAATGTCAAGAACAATGATGGAAGAACGGTTCTTCATGTGTCAGTGATTGATAATGTTCAATGCGAGCTAGTGGAACTGTTGATGTCTGTGCCATCAATTGATCTGAACATTTGTGATGCTGATGGGATGACCCCTTTGGATCTTCTAAAACAAAGACCAAAATCAGCATCTTCTGATATTTTAATCAAGATGATAATTTCCTCTGGAGGGGTCTCTGATGGTCGAAATGCTATAGCAGAAAATGCACTTTGCACTCATCACAAAGCTCATGTCATTGGAGGGAGTCCTGGCACTTCGTTTAGAATACCAGATGCTGAGATATTCCTGTACACTGGAATTGAGAATTCATCAGATGCTAATTATGATCAAGCAAGTGTGGAATCATATTCCCGTTCAAACGAACCAAGCAATTCTGACTCCGAAAATTCTCCACACACCAAGAAGTATGATAATTCTGCTAATCGTGCTGTAAGGCGTTCGAAGTTTCGTCTCAGGTGGCCTAAAAGAAAAGAGACAAAAGCAGCTGCATCAGAATTAGAAGATGACGATTCTCTTGATCCTTTTAGTTCAAGTAGAAACTTGGAAGATTTTCCAATTCCATTGCGGCAAAGATACTCACAACCATGCTCCCTCCCAAAGAACAAAAGAACAACTTCTCTTCCAAGTCCAACCTCCAAAGTGAAATTCAGTGCTGGTCTGATGCAAGGTGTGATTGAAGCAAAACCACATTTTTCTCATTCAACTCCAAGTCCTTTCCGAGAATTATCTGTGGCTTCTCTTTCTTCCATCAAGAAACAAAAGGGTACTGATATAAAGGGACCCTCTTGCTCTGATCCACCATTGGAGGACAGAGAACTTCTGTTGAACTACAAACATTGTTCCCTCAATAAAAAATTGATGAATGGATATTTTTCCTTTGGGGCACAAGGCTTGGCTGTTGAAAATTCCAATAGCTGTGCAAAGTCAAACAGGAGTTACAAGCGTTTGAGTTCCATAGTTGCCTGAGGATTATGATCAGTTAATTTTGGTCAGAAGATGAAAATAAAATATTACTATTGATCTTGTAATGACAAGTTTGTAAAGATTAGTGCAAAAATATGCACATAGGTGGTAATGATATCTGAAATGTTTGGCGTACAGTACAAAAATAACCACCACATCCATAGTTGGTGCTTGTTTGCTTCTTGTGGGACACATGTTATCTGTTCTGTATCTTCTTACAGCAATTTTTTTGTAATCTGTTATTGTACTCTTTTCAAGGTCTAACACATTCAGATTACATGACTGACAATAAAATACAAGTGTAATACTCAAATTTTCATTCAATAATACTCTGATAATGAAAATGTACATGAAAATGTACAAATTCTAAGTAAACTATGTTAAGAATTCCTTATAAGTTGGAACCCGATTAGTAAGATAAACACTACATAAATTAAAAGAAATATAAATTTATTATTTTAAAATTTTAGATTAAAAGCAGTGTTATAGTTTCTTATACGAATTTGCTTACTCTCAATTAATTAAATTAGTTAGCTTTGACATTTTCATAGTTTTGCCAACCACACCTATGTTATTGATGATGGAGATATTGGTCATTACAGTTTATTTTTTCGTGAAACATAATCTGATTATTACTTGGAAATAATAATAGGTTTTTTAGAGTGTTTAGTTTCTTGTAGGTTGTTAAACTTAAAAATAGTTTATTTTAAGTACTTCCACAGGCATAAAACACGAAAAAGTGTGTTGCATGAATAAAAAGTCTTTTTGACCCATTGTTAGTTTTTAAGGTTGCATTGTAACAGAAAACTCGTTGAAATTCTTAAAATCAAGTAAAAGTTATTTGACTTCTAATGTTTTAATGCGATCATAATAAATTAATATTATTTTTTGATAAAAATAATAAATATAGTGAATTTAAGTTAATTAGATCGTTTAATTTTATATTAAAATTTAATAACTAAAAATATATTTAACTCATTATTAAAATATTTTTAATTTATTAAATAATTTATTTTAACTTTTTCTGATTTTTTATTTTTAACTTATTTTAAAGATATATATTTAATTATTTTTTTAAATCATTTAACATTTATATCATTACTTTCTTATGATTTTTAATTGCTATCTTCCATTACAATTAATAAAGGTGAGATTGACCGAAAATAAACATTAATTTAAAGAAATCATAACATGTATTCTTCCAAACTGTCTAGATGAGAATAAAATATTTCTATTAAGAATAAAAAATTATAAAAAACATGCATTAATTTTTAAAATTTCTGCTTGTCACCTAAATACGATGTTCAATCAAATTTCCTTCTGTTAAAATATTTCACACCTTTTTTCCTCTTTTGTCCGACAGTTTTTGAGAATGCTTATTTATGATAGTAATTGTCAGTTGAAATTATATATGTTTGATTTTCTTAAGTAAAGTTTAATATTTATTATCTTTTTTAATGAAAAACTTTAATTCTGAAAATTAGTCTGTTTTATTCGGAATGACATTTTATAAACCGTGACAAAGCCGCGCTATTTCGTCCGCGTTATGAAGGGCATAATCGGAATAAAATAAAGACAATCTTTATATACTTAACCGGCAAAGTTCCCGCCATATTTCTCTTACTTCTAAAGTGAGAGAAACCCTAGAGAGAAAGAGCGCAATGGAGGAAGAAATCAAATCCGAATTCAAAAGCAGCGGTTTCGACATCGAAGACGAACAAGAAATTCTCAGAAAATGTAAGCGATTCTTCGATTTGTCTAGTGTTCATGTGCAAAAGTTTATCGGTTAATCTTCTGAGATGCGTAGGTGTCACTTTCTGCACCAACTACAGTTTCACTCCTTCT